CCGATCACAATGGTCTGGTTTCTCCGGTTCTCTTATTGACCATCTCCAGTCATGGAGGTTCCGCTCTCGCGTTACCAGAGCTTAAGGTTAGACGATATTCAGAGTAGTTCTTGTCGAGAGTCTTATTCCAATCCCAAGGTTTTCAATTTCCCGCGGTTTTCTGGATACGGTTTCTCGCTCTGTCGAAGAAGATGGAAGAACCCATTTCGGAGAATCACGTGTTCCTCTCTGGTTCAAGGGCTGAAACCAAAGCCAAAGCTGAAACCGGAACCAATTAGACAAGTTGATCCTGTTTTGGAAGATACCCGGATCAGGGAGTCTGGTCTGGTGGGGATATGTAGTCAGATAGAGAAGTTAGTGTTGTGTAATAGATTGAGGGATGCGTTTAACTTGTTTGAGACTTTGGAGATTCGAGGTAGTGTTCAGGTTGGGATGACCACTTACAATGCATTGGTGGAAGCTTGTATTCGTTTGAGGTCCATTCCTTGTGTCAAAAGGGTTTTCGGGTATATGGTGAGCAATGGGTTTAAGCCAGAGCTATACATGATGAACAGAATCCTCTTGATGCATGCCAAATGTGGGATGATTATAGAGGCACGTAGGTTATTCGATCAAATGCCTCACAGAAACTTGTTTTCTTACAACTCCATTATCTCTGTTTATGTCAACTTTGGTAACTATCTTGAGGCTTTTCACCTGTTTAAGATGATGTGGGAGGAGCTTTCTGATTCTGAGACTCACACATTCTCGGTCATGCTGCGAGCTTCCGCTGGGTTAGGGTCTATTTCTGTGGGGAAACAATTGCACGTCTGTGCATTGAAATTAGGACTCGTCAATGACACCTTTGTCTCCTGCGGATTGATCGATATGTATAGCAAGTGCGGGGACATTAAAGATGCTCGATGCGTTTTCGATAATATGTCTGAGAAGACTACGGTTGCGTGGAATGGCATCATAGCAGGTTATGCGCTCCATGGTTTCAGCGACGAAGCTCTGTGTTTATTGTATGGGATGCGAGACTCAGGTGTGTCTATTGATCATTTCACACTTTCCATCATGATAGGAATTTCTACAAAGCTTGCAAAGCTCGAGCTTATTAAGCAAGCACACGCTTGTTTAATTCGGAGCGGTTTTGAATCAGAAATCGTCGCAAACACGGGTCTTGTGGATTTTTATAGCAAATGGGGTAGAGTAGACACTGCTAGATATATCTTTGATAAATTGCCGAGAAAAAATATATTCTTATGGAACGCTTTGATGGGTGGATATGCAAATCATGGCAGAGGATCTGATGCGGTTAACTTGTTTGAGAAAATGCTTACTGCAAAAGTAGCTCCAAACCACATCACGTTCCTTGAAGTTCTATCAGCTTGTGCCCATTCAGGTTTATCTGAACTGGGATGGGAGATTTTTCTATCGATGAGTGAGGTTCATGGGATCAAACCAAGGGCAATGCACTATGCCTGCATGATTGAGGTGTTGGGTAGAGACGGTTTGTTAGATGAAGCCATTGCTTTCATCAGAAGAGCTCCCTTGAAACCCACAGTGAATATGTGGGCAGCACTCTTGAATGCCTGTAGGATGCACGAAAACTTGGAGCTCGGAAGAGTGGTGGCTGAAAAACTCTATGGAATGGGACCCGAGAAGCTGGGAAACTATGTTGTGATGTATAATGTGTACAACAGTTCGGGAAAAACTGCAGAAGCTGCAGGAGTTTTGGAGACATTGGATAGCAAAGGTTTGAGAATGATGCCGGCCTGTACTTGGGTGGAGATTGGAGATCAGACTCACAGTTTTCTTTCAGGAGATAAGTGTGATTCGTACAGTGAAACGATGAAAAGGTAAGCTTATGTGGCTGTTATATCTTTTTTTTCTTTTGTCTTCAATGGGTCTTAATTCCACCCTCATTACCTAAAACTGTGGGAATCTGAACAATGAAACAGGCAAATGTACCAAAAAGTTGATGAATTAATGGAAGAAATTTCCGAGTATGGGTACTTGGGGGAGGAGAAAAACCTTTTAGCAGACGTGGATGAGAATGGAGAAGAAGGAGTAATGAGATATCACAGCGAGAAGCTTGCAATAGCTTATGGATTGGTGAATATGCCGGAGTGGAAAGCATTGCAGATAACTCAGAACCATAGGATATGCAAAGATTGTCACAAAGCGGTTGAGTTGATAGCTTTGGTTACAGGAAGAGAGATAGTGGTGAGAGATGCGAGCAGATTCCATCATTTCAAAGAAGGAAAGTGTTCTTGTGGAGGTTATTGGTGAATCAGATTGGTGTACAAGTAGAAGTCCAATTTATTTGTTATTATGGATTTAAGCAACTCGCATTGTTCTTGTTTCTTTACGCTAAAAGTCTATATATGTATAACACAGGGAAATCTAGTGTCTGATCATGTAATGGTTTCCGATTCTTTTAGCATTTATTATGAATAAAGGTAAAAGCTTTTTAGTATCACTGCTTCTAATCAGCAATTTGATATTTCACCGAACCGAACTATTAAAATTTGGGAATACGTCAGTATGTTAATCATCACACAAGTTGTGTGATACAACTGCGTATTCCAGTGTAAACGCAAAACCATCTTATTCAGTTGCAGAGGGTAAGATCTGGAGAAATTTGAGCACGTATAATAATAAATATACCCGCGCATATATAGAAATTTGGTTCTATATATGTATAATAATTATAGAACAA